TCAAAAAAGTATCTCCTTGTTCATGATTTTTTTTCAGCAGTGATAAAGTTAAATCCTTGAGATTATTGGCAACAGAACAGCTTAAGAATTTTTCATAACTCAGCCCCTACGCTAAATAAAATTTAAGCCATTTATCATATATTAGAAAGATAATTATTAATGGGATTTAAGGTGACAAAAAAGTGTGTAGAAAATTAAGGATAGTTACAGAAAGATGGAAATTGGAACATCTAAGTAAATTAAAATTTCTTAGTACATGTGTTTTTTAAATCTATTTTTTTTTAATCATTTACAACCAAAAAAGATCCAAGAAAAGATTTCAATCTATTCGATCAGTTTTTGTTTGTACAGTGTATCATCTGTCCTTAACATGATAACAAATCTGTTATTATATACTGCATGAAATGCATGAAATTGATTGATTGATTCCTCTAGAGAAATTTTTCACTCATATGTAGACGTACGCCACCGCTTTCCGGTGGAGAGCTTCAAACTTTGCCCTACACTCGACAACCAGGGTCATTGAGCAGTGAGGGATCTTTTTTGTGCCAGCACCTACTGCGACACAGCACTTCGGTTTATACGGTCTCAAACCCGCGGCTAAAGGATTATTTTCACTCAAAGATGATTGATTGATACTGTTTAACGTCCCTCTATAGAATATTTCACTGATATGGAGATGTGAAGTTCTGCAATTTTAGGCCTATGCTCGGCACTTACGGTCTTTGAGCAGGAAGGGATCTTTATCGTGCCACACCTACTGTGACACGGGGCCACGGTTTAAACGGTCTCATCCGAAGGACCGCCCCGTTTAGTCACCTTTCACGACAAGCAAGGGGGTACTGAGGACCTATTCTAACCCGGATCCCCACGGGGCTTCACTCAAAGAAAACCATTGTCAACTAAGGCGCAGCTAATGTTGCCAAAGATTTCGAAGGGTGAGAATTCCAAAGTAGCATTTAACTTCATGCTTTATGCATTATAATATTCTTAATATTCTATGAAAACATATTACAACTAGGGGTACTGTGAGCAATGAGCTCCCTAAATACATGTAATACCCCCGCCTTTCATCTGAATATAATGGCAGTATCCATGTTTTGCTCTGGAAAATTCAAAATATATGTCTGATGGAAAATAAAATAGGAGGTGCACAATGGCAATCTGTAATAAAGATTCTGTGAAAGTTTCATTAAAAATTTCCTTCAGTGGTATGAGAGGAGTTGCAGATAAGAGATGGGTACCCCAAAGCGTAACAGACGGACGTACAGACGGTCGGACGGGCATACATTTTTTTATATATACCCTCCCACTTTTCAAGCGGGGGTATAATGAACCACGTGCGCATGAATTCTGCACAATCAATATTTTTAATGATATCACCGTCATCAAGCAGCGTTGATTGTTGCTACGCTTGGGGGCGTGGTTTCATTAGTAAGCGAATAATAGTGACTGTGTCTCGGGAAATAGTCCTGGTCAAGGGGAACTAGAATCTTGCTAACTCACCAATTATATATTTTTTGACTTTGTTATTATACCGATATAAAAGTAATTAAAAAAATAAAGGATTACGAATGACCGGGGTCTAGCTTCCGGACTAATGCACGATGATTAGCCCCTTGACATACATAGGCGTAGCCACAGGGGGGGGGGGGGCAGCGGGGGCACTAGCCCCCCCACTTTCAGATCGGGGGGGGGGGGCAAGAGTATGTCTGTGCCCCCCCCCCAATTTTTAATGAAGAAGAAAATCACAGCTATTTTGAAATAATATTAAACCTCATTTTATGGCATTTTTTCTATGTTCAACAACTGAGTAAGCATTTCTCTTGAAGTAATATAGTTGTATAATGCGGGTCGAAGAATTGGAATTGAAAGTAACTTGCCTTTGAAAAAAACTTGTCCACTACTACCCCCCCCCCCCTTCCCCCACGAAATAGGATTTTCGAGTTTGGGGAACTTTCACTTTTGTTTTTTTTTTTTTTTTTTTTTTTTTGCTAGTCAAGAATTTATGGACTTGAGCCCCCTCACTTTTAAGTTTGTGACTACGCCACTGACATATTAGAACCGAAACAAAAGTAAAATCTAGAGATAACAGATAACAGGGGAATTAACTTCCGAAGCAGGGATTAGATCATTTGACTATCTCACGGGGATTAGTCCATTCGCAGAGATTTCTAGGGAATTGTTCACATTTTACTGTGTAACTTTTATGGAGGAAAAAATCAGTAGACGTTAAAATTCGTTTTCACATGATTCAAACTTAAACAATTCTTCTGTTCATGGGATTCAAGCAAAATATAAGTAATAAAAAGTATGCATAAATAAAGGACTTTCTATAAAAAAAAATCTTTAAACAGCCTTGTCAAAAAGAACATTAAAAATACATCTACCGCTAAAGCCATTAGAGGTGTTAATACATCTAATTTGGGAAGATTTCCGTTTCTTTTGAAAGCTAAACATTTTGGTTCATGATTTGAAATATATACTTCCTAAATGTACATAAGTTGAAAAACACTCATTTACCATTCAAAAATCTGTTTGTCGTTTATTTTATTATAATGCGGCTGTGGTTTATATTTACTCTCTATATGACAAGGGATGGGAAATCCTACTCTGAGAAAGAGAGAACTTCAAGGAATAGTTTGGTTCTGGTGTGTGAATTCCCCTTGGAGGGTAATTCTGCTCTAGAGTACGATTCCCTGTGGGGCAGTTGGGGGTTGGTAATGGGGGAAATGCACCTCTACAACACCAGTGTCTACTTTCTAAAATAAGTTTTTTAACAATGAGGACGAGGGTGCTCGAACTCACCCTTACGGTACAGTATACATATCTCAAGCAATCAGATGATTTTGCAAAAAGTTAATTGGTTTAAAGTACCCTATTTGCAGCAGTCGCAACTGAAATGTCCTGTAAATTTTCTTTTATAATTTAAGTAACGGTTGTGGAAAACATATTTAACTCCTGTTTTTTTATATTTCTGTTAATTTAGTTCATTTGTATATTTCTTATAAAAAATAAAATTATTTGACTTTAGTGAAATGTATTCATAAACATTTTGTGCTATTAAAAATACTGCACATGTATGATGCTTCCGGATCATCGGTTTCCTGCGTAAAACAAAAAATGAATAATTGTCTTTGCTTTGAAAGATTTTTTAGTTAATGTTTTTTTTAAATAAAAGTACCTGATCAAAGATGCAATGTAATGTAAATATTTTAAAGAAGTCGTCGTACTCCGATTCTGTAATGAAGAGTTTACGTAAATGCATTGGATTTGATTTTAAAGTGTCTATCGATTATATTCAATAGCTGACCATTATGAAAAAAGATTTTCTTTTCATTTTGAAATTGGTCATATTTTGGAGTGGTATTATCAGCGCCCCCTTCAGACCTTGTGTTATATTTTTTATAGTTGTAAGTATGTCAAATGACAATCATTTTTCTTGTTCAATACTCTAATTCTGAGACAAAAAATTTGGAAAATCATAAATTACATGTAAAACAAGTAGCTTTAAATTTTGCAAACTATGTTGCAATCACCATATTTAAATTCCATTAATCATGGCACTGCGACAAAGAGGTCAGTGATGCCAAATTGAAAAATTTAAGACAGATTCCTAAATTTCAAAATTATTTGAAAAGAAAAATTAAAAATATATTTTCATCATGCAATAACTGTTCGTAATTTCCATATTTGATTTAAGATATTAAGCATTCAAGTGCCTATGAAGACAAGGGTCTTAATCAGTGATGAGAAAGGTGGTAATGAGTGAATAACAGGCACAAAAGAAAGGATTTTATTCGTTTTAGAAAATGTCCCCGTTTAGATACAATAAAACAAGAACTGGTGTGTGAATATTAATGAGTGTGAAATAGGTCCCCGTTTGTGCTGTGAAATGTGCTTAGCTTAAAATTAAAGATATTGATATGTTCTCATTATATTTGTCATCAGGGTTACATGGTGATAAATATTTTAAGTCAAAAGTTTATGAAATATTAAAAATGAAGAAGTCCCCACTTTGACAGTCTTTAACCCCTGTCCCCGTTTGACACCCTTCACACGTATGTGTGTGTGTGTGTGTGTGTGTGTGTGTGTGTGTGTGTGTGTGTGTGTGTGTGTGTGTGTGTGTGTGTGTGTGTGTGTGTGTGTGTGTGTGTGGAGAAGTTGGGGGGTCGGGGTGGTGTTACACTGATATGACTCTATAATTCTACCATCTGGTTTCATTGTAACCATAAAATCTCCATGTAATATACATGTATGTAAAATGTCACCCCAGTACAAAGTGTAGATTTACTGAACACCTGCTACAGAAATACACAACATTCCTAGACAGAGCTGTGTTAATATCAATGGTGTCTATATCTCACTGTCAATACTGTACGAAATGTTTGTAGTCACTGTGATTGAACTTTGTTTGAACACATTGAATGATAAGAACTAAGACAATACCCCCCCCCCCCCAACAGTCATAAACCCCAATTCTACAATTATTTTTCCATTTCCTTAGCTGACTCTACAATTATTTTTCTATTTCCTGACATTTGTTTTTGATCTATAAATTTAACCTACAAACCATTTAGCAGAGGAATATGAAATAAAGTCATGATAATGTCAACCCAAATAGAAGACACAATCAATGAGAAATATTTAACCATGTTTACAAATCATTAGACAATCTGTACAAATTCAGGAGTAGTTTGTCACAGACAACAAAGTTAACAACACATTTAGATAACTCTTACATGTTTAATTAAATATAATATGAAAATCAAATCATTACTAATTTGACAACTTATCTATTTATATCCTTTCTTAAAAGCATTTCTTGTTAAATAACACAACAAGTTAGTACACAATTAACCATGTTATGTATTTATACTTAAAAGTTATCACTATGATAATTCCGTAATGTCTTGTAATTACACATAAAACAATGACTATAATACAGTGTACACACTCATCATTGTAAAAAAAAAACATTATACTTCAGTTTTACTTACTGGTCAGATTATCCCCTCCATATATAAGTCTGTATATGTTCACTGTGTTATCCCATGATCCTACCCAGACAGAGCGGGTGATGTCATCATAACTCAGGCTGTGTGGTGTGTCTATCCCGTGTTGTTTTGTCTCTATCTGTGTCAGATAGAGACCATCCTGGTCAATAATATGTAATGTGTCGGTGATATAATCACACAGCAGGATGTGTGACAGCGCGTCAGTACAGATTCCACGTGGATATAGTCGTGATCCTGATGGAGGACCTGTGTAGGAGAAGCGATGTCTTCCTCTTCTGTCTGTCACCACTACACCACGGGACCAGTCAGACACAATAACATCTCCATTGCGGTTCTCTGTGATGTATCTAGGTACATTATACAGCCCCTGACCTGTATTGCCGTGCTGTATGGTCTGTATGTGTTCTCCTGTGTTAGTGTAACGGTTTACCTGGTCTGACAGTGCGTGAGACATCCCGACCAGCAGGTCTCCAGTGGAAGGGGAGCTGTAGACACTGTATGGTATCCATGGTGATGTGTTTGGTATCACTGTGGTCTTTACTTTATCTGTAGACAGTTTAATGATGTTATAGTGACTGTCTATATAAATCAAATCACTATCTCGCGTCACAGTATGTAATCCACCAATATATTCACTTAAACCTGTCACACGATCTAGTGTAACACCTGTCGTGTTTGTTAAGATGAGATTGCCGTGATTATCACTGATCCAGACCCGGTCTGTTGACACATGGGTAATGTGTTTACACGTACTAAAACCTGGCACTGTGATAGATTTCTGTAACACCAATCTATACATCACTGACACCAGACTTCTTTTTTCCTGTGACTTTATAATCCTGTGTGGATTTCCTTCAGTGAGGGAGATCTCTCTGTAAATTACAACATTGTTCTCGAATTATCTTCATTAGGAACACATCTCTGTTGTTTTAAAATAATAAATGTACTCATTAAAAATGTTTTGGTTGTAAGTACTTATACTGTGTTAAACAATTAAATAGAATTACCAGATAAACTTAAATACCTTGACACTTGCTTCTCAATACTTTGTCTTCATTCATAACAGCCTCCAAGTGTTTTCAATTAAACCTGTCTGACAAAGCAATAGTTATAATTGAAACACATGTAAATTGTGACAAACTGTTCAGATTATTATAGATGATATGAATACTGGAAAACAATTCAGGTTCTAATAGATGTTAACATGAAATCATTTAAATTCTGACATTCTATAACACTGTATGTACACTTAGTAATTTACGGAAGAAAAATCATGATAAAAATTGCATTCTTACCATTACTAATTCATAGGTATTACAATAAAGTGTTAGATAGGAAAGTTCTACAGTAACTATGAGACTCTATAGATAAGTATCATTACTGTATATTGTAATACAGTTATAACAAGAGGCCTGTGGGCCAAATCGCTCACCTGAGCACTATGGCTAAAAAATAGAAGCAGAAATCACTTCAGAATTCACCATTGATTAGTTTAGATGGGGGGTCTGAAATTCCAAACTACCAACTACCCGATGATGCTTCCATACAACAAATTCCTTTACTGTTTTTGAGCAGATGATTTTTCCCTACTTATTCATTTGACCCACCACCCCCTCCCATTGTGGCCGAGGATGCCTCAATATCTATATAATTAAAAATTCCTTTTCTGTTCTTGGGAAAAAAAATTCCTTGATATCTATAGATTTCCAATTGTTGCCCCCCCCCTACCTACCCCCTACTTCACATTCATGACTTGATCATGAACAAACTTGAATCAACACTACGTAAGAATGCTTACATAAAGATGTGACCAATCATGGCTTTGTAGTTCTGTAAAAGAAGAGGTTTAAAAAATTGAATTTTCCAATGTATTCATTCCTAAATAAAACTTTAATTGTCAATTGTGGCCTCGCCCTACCCCTGGGGGTCATAATTTGAACAATTTGAATCTACAGTACCTGAGGATGCTTCCACTTGAGATTCATCTTTCCTGGCCCAGTGGTTCTGGAGAAGAAGATTTTCAATGATTTTTCCTATGTAAAACTTTGATCAGCAATTGTGGCCCTGCCCTACCCCCGGGGGTCATCATTTGAACAAATTTGAATCTACACTATATGAGGATGCTTCCACATGAGTTTCATCTTTCCTGGCCCAATGGTTTTGGAAAAGAAGATTTTTAAAAATATGCAATTCATTTATCGCTAATTTATAATCATCTCCCCTTGTAAGAGGGCTTGGCCTTTCATTTGAACAAATTTGAATACTCTTCATCCAAGGATGCTTTGTAGCGCGTTTGGTTGAAATTGGCCCAGTGATTCTTGAGAAGTGGAAATTGTGAAAAGTTTACAGACAGACGGACACCGGACAAAATGTGAACAGAAAAGCTCATTTGAGCCCTCGGCTCAGGTGAGCCAAAAATTAAAAGATTTTTTAAACCTGTCAAAACGGTGGTTTCTTAAGCCTCTTTAGCTTTACATAGTTAAACAGCACATCCTGGGAGACCTGTGAATATAAAACTCAGTAAAATAAGTAAATATTTCTGTATAGCTTCAATGTCTTAAAAACTAATGTCATTGTACGATATATTTTAGATGATTCATGGAAATGTAAACCTGAATTTTGTCAAGTCTTTAAAATACCAACTCGTAATATTAAACAAGAGGCCCATGGGCCACATCGCTCACCTGAGCACCATGGCTAGGAAAAAATACAATTTGGTTTATTACTGAAAAGTTTAAATCCAATAGTAGTCCCATGACGAATCATGGCTTTGCTATTCTTGAGAAGATGAGAATTTTCCTATATATTTCTATGTAAAACTTTGGTCGGCCATTGTGGCCCGGCCCTACCCCTGGGGGTCATGACTTGAACAAACATGAATCTGCACAACCTGAGGATGCTTCCATATGAATAGGATCAATTATGGCTTTGCTTTTCTTGAGAAAAAGATTTTTTTTAAAAATTCCTATATATTTCTATGTAAAACAATTGTCGACCATTGTTACCCTTCCCTACCCCCGGGAGTCATGATTTGAAGAAAATGGAATCTACACTACCTGAGGATGCTTCCATAAAAATATAATGAATATAGGATTTGTCATTCTTGAGAAGAAGATTATTAATGAATTTTCCTATATACATACATGTATTTATATGTAAAACTTTGGTCGGCCATTTTGGCCCCGCCCTACCTACGGAGGTCATGATTTGAACAAACTTGAATCTACTCTACCTGAGGATGTTTGCCCATAAGCTTCATCTTTCCTGGCACAGTGGTTCTTAAGAAGAAGATTTTTAAAACATCCCCCCAAATTTTCCTTAATTCCCAATTAACTCCCCTTGAATGAGTTCGTGGCCCTTCATTTGAAGAAACTTAAATCCCCGTCACCCAAGGACTCTATGTGGCAAGTTTTGCTGAAATTGGCCCAGTGGTTGAGAAGTCGAAAATGTGAAAAGTTTACAGACAGACAGACAGACAGACGGACACCGGACAAAATGTGAACAGAAAAGCTCGCTTGAGCCTTCGCCTCAGGTGAGCTAAAAATTAAAAGATTTTTGAAACCTGTCAAAAGTTGATTTCTTCAGCCTCTTTAGGTTAATCAGCACATCCTAGGATACCTGTCAAAACAAACTCAAAACAATGAGTAAATATTTCTGTATAGCTTCAATGTCTTAAAAGACTACTGATATACATGTAGTATGGTTAAATTCAGATCATTCACAGAAATTTTTCATGACGCATTGATAAAAGTTGTCTGATACTCTCAAAACTGTAACACACTTCTTAATTTACTTTCCGATTGTCACAAACCTGTTAGATATAAAGGCACTGTATAGGGGATTTATTTCACGGGTTGTAATTTTCACGTTTTTCTCTTCTTTGACACAATCACGGTTTCTTGAATTCGCGGTATTGGTATATGATAAAAGTTTCCTCCCTTATGTAAACCTAATGAAAACTTATTCACTGTTTCTTAAATTCACAAATCCATTAACACCGTGAATATATCAAATATTAACACCGCGAGTTTTTTCCCCCTATATCATGTATACAGTAACTAGAAATATGTCCAGAGGACATGAATGCCCCGCCGAGGGTATATTAGTAAAGCAACATGAAAATTTGTATAAATGTATGAAATTTGATCAGATTATCTTGAATAGTGATGCAGTTGAAGTGCTTACATAAGTATGTATTAGCATATGACGTTTGACACTAATTTCATTAAAGTGAGGTCAAGGTCGAAGGAAATGTCAAGTTAGAATAAAGTGCCACGCCACGGCATGATACGCCCATCAAAAAATTACAATTATCTTAAACAGTTAAGAGTGCAAAGAAAATCATGTAAACCTTGATTTTAAAATTTCCATGATTTTTTCTATTTCTTAAAATATTTGTTTATCCATCGATATTCCCTGTGGTGTAGGCATTAATCATAACAAATAACATTATTGATAGATTTCTATACTGGTTGTATTAGACCTTGTCAAATGCCCATCATATTAAACAATATCAAATTGGTCTTAACAACTTCATCTATACCAAATTAATTTTGAAAATAAAAGACTGCATCGATGCCATCAAATGACATTTGCTTTTTAAACTGACCAGCAGTTCTTCTATCTAATTCCCAAAGGATGCAGATAAGAAGATGCTAGCTAGCCTTCCTAAATTGAACTCATTAATTAATCTTTGACTGGATGCTTGTCTACTCATTACTATAGATGAATGAATCTGCAGTATCTACCATAAATCTTTTTTAAAACATAAAAAATACCATGACAATTTTTTTTATTAACAGTTAATGTCAGAAAGGTTTTAATATGCGATTTCTATGGAAAATGACATGCTGATTCCACCCCTATGAAATAAGTTTTTTAAATTAATAATACTATACAATATAAGATTAGTTTATTATGCAATATCAAATTAGTGTTGATTACTTTTCTTCAAAATCATTTTAAAATTTAGGCTAGCCAACAAGAGCTATTTTTAATCCAACAGGCTAACCCATCTGCCCAATTCCCAAAGGGATATAGATAACACTGATGCTCTCAAATTAGCTCTTCGCACTAAACTCATCAATTTCTCTCAAATTTGACATGCAATTTTCTGTTATCAAAACTCTTGACCAGTGCTTGATAATTACACCCATGGGAGACATGGGATTTCTCTAACATACATTATATTTGTTATAGATTGTTGTCAAGTATATGCTGAAAAAATCAGTATTTTCTTGATTTCACACTTTTTTTTATAAGGATACAACTAAATTTTTACATTTTTTAGGATTATGAAATGCAGAATTTTTAAGACTTAGTTTTTTTTTTTTTAAAAAAACACTTAAATTAAAGGTCACAGTGACCTTGAAATAGGTTTCGACACACCTTCTACCCAATATGTATACATTTGCCAAGTTTGATAGTTCTAGGTCTAATAGTTTACTTGTTATGAGCCGGACAGGATTTTTCCATATTTGGCCATAGCATCTTAATTAAAGGTCAGAGCGACCTACTTTTTGTGCGAGACACATTGTCTACCCAAGAAGTATCAGTTGACAAAGTTTGATAATCCTAGGCCTAATAGTATTGAAGTTATGAGTCGGACACGAATGGACAGACGGACAGACGGACAGACAGACAGATGAACGGACGGACATGAAGCCTATAACATAATACACCCCGTCGTAAAGGCCGAGCTTGACCTACTTGAAAATCCGGTGGTAGTGCAAGTAAGCAAATTTGGTGTAGGGCGGCGCTTACTGCTGCAGCCAAGTTAAAAATAAAACCCAGCATGCTGATAACAGAAGACAGTTCATGTGTTACTTGGCTAAACAAGTCGCCCACTGTGATAATCTTTACAGAGTATAAACATACAAAGCAGGATCTACAAGACTATATTATTGATTATATACAATTTTGATTAAAATAAAAATGTATTAATTATTTCAATTACATTTATAATTTAATATTTCATATGTACAAAATAATTTGGACTCAATATTATAACAGTTCATTTCAATAAAAGCTTTCTACATATTTACACCAGATATTATCACTGTACTTAAATGTTAGTTTTTTGTACACTTTCTTCCCTTTTT